AAAGCCTGGAGCCGGTTGTATAAAACTCTTAATCACTTTTTTAATCACTATTTTGTAAATTTTGTAGTTAAATAGTGATTAACTCTCAAACATGCGCTTCTTATTGGATGACATTTCCACTTAACTATGATTAACTTTAATCACTTTTTTATACAACCGGCCCCTGGTTTCCATACGGTCGTAAAAATTGAGTCACGATCTTTCTCAACGGCCAGTTTGTAGTAGTTTATACCTGTAAACCACATATAAATCGTAAGTATTCTCTAGTTATAATCACTCCGCATATTTTCAGTTTTGAAATGTTGTATTTCGGCTGATGAGAAAGATCGTGACTCAATCTTTACGACCGTTACGACCATATGGAAACCAGGCTCAAGTATGCAAAATTCATACTGTGAACACGGAAATTTTAATAGTGTTACTGTCGTTCCAATTGAAGTGTTGCTCAAATATTGATTCAATACATTACCTCGGGCTGACCAATTCATTTCATCAAGTTCCTCGAGATATTCATACACTTCCTAGTATAATTATAAACTTCCTGTTGAATAGTTTGAATGCACCAATCACCTTTGTTGTTTGTGCAACTAACCAATCATAAATAGAAAGGAAGTGACCAGAAATGATCAAATACTTGGAATTGGCTCTTTCACAGGAAGTGTATGAATATCTCGAGGAACTTGATCAAATGAATTGGTCAGCCCGAGGTAATGTATTGAATCAATATTTGAGCAATACTTCAATTGGAACGACAGTAACCAGTCTTGAAAAAAGGCGATTGTTTGGTTGGTTAGGAAAAAATTCAATACACATGTGCGTGTGACTATATGTAACGACCAATAGACCCATTGCATTGACGTCACAAATCCTTAGAGTGTCCTCCAGATGCTCCCTAACAATATCTATTCGGATACAACAACCAAATACAGCGCAAAAATTAATCATTTTAATACAAAATTATTATAAAGTTTTACAAAATTTGCTTTGTTTACAAAAGTTATATTATGCATAGATTGCTAATTTGTCCTCCAGATGCATCGTCACTGGCGCTGTGACGTCATGTGCAATGGGT